AAATGCAGTGCTTAAAAATAAACGTGTTTTGGATAAATAACTTTTGAATAAATAACTTATTAATTCAAAACTCCAAAACACGTTTATTTTTAAGCACTGCATTTAACTTCGAACAAGATCCGGATCCGAACAAGATCCGGATATCCGGATTTTCACTTAAATCGAATATTTTATCTCGGATCTATCTCTATCTCGGATATCCGGATACCCGGATAAACGGATAATCGTCATCACTAAAATTAATGCCCAAAAATGCCTAGTAATGCCGCAAATCTGTACACCATTAATGCCCTCAGCGGTTTCCCCATCGTTTTCTACAGATCGATCGTCCCAAGTAGAACAAGTTAATCGCAAAAACGTCAATGCGACATTAAAATGATGAATTGTAATGTCACATTGATGAATTTTAAGTCGTTAAATGATCGACATCAAGATTTACTTTGAGATCAAGATTGACTAATATTCTACTTGGAATACGCCTGATTCAATTGAGATGTGCGCTTGTCACTTTTACAAAAATTATTAGCACTGCAATTTCTAGCGTGCTATCACATCTTATCGAATGTCTTGCCGCCGAAACGGCTCACGAGAGAAAGCGGATATACGTATCATGAAATATTTCTTTATTTGTGCTGTACAATTTCAGATTTCGAAGATCTCGATTACAATCTCAGATTACGGTATATACAATAATAAAATAGTGCGCGTCTCTTTACAATTTGCGATCTTATATACAATTCGTGCTAAGTACGTCATTTACATCGGGACGGACCCTCAAGAATGGCCGCGTTCAGCAGAAAAAGCTGCTTCGCAACTGTCGTAAAAATCTTGAATCTGACTGGCGTGTGCTCCTAATTATGGCAGACTCTAAGAACGTACTCCAATCAACTTCACGAATTTTGCACCTGTTGCAAAGTAGGTTTTTTTCCGCTGAACGTAGCCAATGAAGCTTATCGTTTGCGACTAAATCGCGAAGAAACGATCGGACCGCTCGCGTCTATTTTAACAAAGGAACCCAGCGACTTTGTCATTACGTCAGATGGCATTTTAGCGGAGGCGAAATTACTTTCTTACGTTACATACGCATATGAGACACTGGCTTGAAATTTCTGCTCGCGGACACGCGCCGTCGTCGGCGCATGAATAGGCAATCGGAGCATCTACATTCATCTCCGAGGATTATGAATGATCGCTTTCCTCGCGCTAAATTAAAACTCGGATGACACAATGTTGTGAAGGAGAAAATCAATTTAATCTCCGCTGTATTTAATTTTCCTTTCACCGATACCAGATCTCTACCAGTGATATCGATTTGCTTAAAATATCTCGCTGACATATGTACTGACTTTCTTCCGGAATCATCCGACACGCGAATTAATCCGCTCTCGTATGCGGTGTCCATCTATCTCGGCAAGTTTTATCACAATGCGTGAAATTCCGCAACATCGCGCATTTTATAATTTTCGTGACTCTCCCTCAGGCAAGAAACGTTATATGTTTTTGTCGTTAACGGGATACGTGTGAAAGAAAGGATTGGACTTATTTTTGCATTTATTACTTTGAAATAAAATATACCATAAATGTAATATAAGTAAAACGATATAATGTAGAAAGAAAAATTGGTGATAATCTTTATATCGTATTTACTCTGAAGAGTAGATTTGATCGCGACGTTAATGACAGAAAAATTTTTCAGCGTTTCAAATAAAATTGGCAAGAAAGTATATCGCATAACCGTCCGAGATTTTATAAAAGTTTGATTTATTAAGTTCAATGTATATTTCACACGTATCCCCTGTGGGCAAGGACGACTATAATCGCTGTGATAAATTCCACTTCGCGATACGACAGCTGCGCATCAGCTGACAAATTCACGCTAGTTACAAAACGTTTTAACTTTCGCTCTTTCGCACTGTAAAATTACAAAATAAGGTATAACAGCATTCTTTTAACATTTGCATTTCTCGGATATACAGTCTTATTCATTAATGCCTGGACCTGAGTTTTACCCGAGGGGTAAACCCGAGGGGGAAATAGCTGACCAAAATCTTGTACACCACTGAAGCCCAATGAACATGACTTAATCTTATTTTCTTATTTTATTTTATTTATCTTGTTTTATCTTTACAATGCCCCAGCAAGGTCTAATGTCCAAACTAATGCCTTAGTTAGTGCCTCAGGCCTTGCTGGGGCATTATAAAGATAAAATAAGATACAATAAGATAAAATAAGACAAAGTAATGTCCATTGGGCATTACTTTATCTTATACGTGCAGCCTGAAACTCAGTGATTCGTATAGATGAGAAAAATGACGGTAAAAATGCAGGTCCAGGCATTAATGAAGAAGACTGTACGTGTTGAAGCGTTACATCGCGACACGCATATCGGCAATTTGTACAATAATCGCAGGAACGTTTGCAGAGCGCATACGGAAGATGTATCGGCCGACGGATGTTCCTTCGCGATATATTCGTATCGAAATATATTGAGGTACGAAGTCACACCTTCTTTGCGTGGACGAATAAACGGTAGAATCGAAATCGAAACGGCGTTTCGCAGCCGAGCTTCCGCAACGATAGATTCTCGATTCTCCATTGATGATTAATCGTTTTTACGCAAGCGGGTCTCAGTGCGGCCAATACCTGTTGCGCCACTTAATATATTAATCGACTGCCGCCACGTGCGGCGGGATGTCTAATTTAGTTACGCGTTTAATTTACAATATTTATATGTACAATACGTGAATCTAAAAAAATTTACAGGAGCCGTAGAAATATATTTTTAACTATTTATAATATTTAAATTAACATAATTCACTCGTTACATCAGTGCGTTACGTGAGAAATCGTTGCGA